GAAAAGGGGCTTCCCTTTTTTTCTCCTGGAAGCCAGCCACGCTTCTGACTCCTGTTCTGTGCGACTCTCTTTCTCTCTGATAAATAAATATATTGTTTTCCTTATATAGCCTCAATAGGGCCAGATAAAACAGGTCCTGCATCCTGGCCTGCATTCAAGTGTCTGGGGATCTCGTGGGAACTGCAAGAACTTCCCATCACTGCGGGAACAGAGTAGCCCTGATTGCAGGTCAGGTATTCCATCAACGAGATGAAGAAACTAGCAGATCCAGTGCCCTACTATCGCCAGAGAACTGCACAGAGCTTCCCATCCCAATGGGAGATGAGAAGCCCAGATTCCAGGTATTCTCTTCCACCAACGAGACCATGAAACAGATCCATAACAGGGGACCAGAAGGACCAGTGTGATAAGTTAAAACAGGTTCCTGTATCCAGGCCACTATTGCAGTTCCTTGGGATAGCTTGGGAACTGCAAAGAGGTTGATCCAGGTGGGATCAGAGCAGCCCAGATTCCAGGTCTTCTCTTCCACCAAAGAGACCAGGACCAGCAGATCCAGGAGAACAGCGATCCAGCTGATCCTGCAGGACTAGGTAAAACAGGCCCTGCATCCTGGCCTGCATTCCAGTGCCTGGGGATCTTCTGGGAAATGCTCAGTGCTCCCCATTCAGGAGGGAGCCAAGGTGACCAGGTTCCAGGTCATCTCTACTACCAATGACACCTGGAAATCACCAGATCCAGATCAAGGGACCACCTGGTCCAGGCAGACCAGGTAAAACAGGCCCTGCATCTGGGCCTGCATAGCAGTGCCTGGGGATCACCTTGGAATGGCCAGTGCTTCACATTTCGTCAAGAGACTAGTAGCCCAGATTGCAGATTTTCTCTTACAACAAGGTTACCAGGAAACCAGCAAATCCACGAGACCAGAAAAACAGCTGGTAAGACAATACCTGGTTAAACAGGCCCTGCATCCAGGCCTGCATTCCAGTTCCTCAGAACTGCACAGATCTTTCCATCCCAGCAGCACAGATTCCACAACTTCTCTTCCACCATTGATACCAGGAATCCAGCAAATCCAGTCTCTGCATATCTTTTGGGAACAGCACAGAACTACCCGTCCCAGCAGGAGCCAAGCAGGCCAGATTCCAGGATTCCTCTTTCACCAAACAGACTAGAAAACCAGCAGATCCAGCAGACCAGGGGAGCAGCTAGTCCAGCAGAACCAGGTAAAACAGGCCTTGCATCTGTTCCTGAATTCCATTGCCTGGTGTTCACCTAGGAATGGCACAGATCTTCTCATCCTGGCAGGATATGAGCAGAAAAGATCCCAGTTCTCCTCTTCAACTAACAGGACTAGGAAACCAACAGACCCAGTGCCTGGGAATCGCCTGGCAACTACACAGTGTTTTCCATGTATTTTCGTCCAAAAACAAGTCAAGAAAACCAGCATACCCAGTGCCTAGTGATAGCCTGGGAACTGAACAGAGCTTCTAATCCTGGCAGGAGGCTACCAACCCAGAATCCAGGTCTTGTCTTCCACCAATGGGACCAGGAAACCAGAAGATCCATTGCCTTGGTATTGCCTGGGAAATTCACAGAGCTTCTCCTACAGGCAAGAAGGAGCATTCCAGAATCCAGCTCTTCTCTTCCACCAAGGATCTAGAGCTTGTGAACGCCTGGGAACTGCACAGAGCTTCCCATCCCTGTAGGAACAGCCTAGGCCAGATTCAGAGTCTTCTCTTCCACCAACGATACCAGGAAAACAGTAGACTCAGGAGACCAGGGGACCAGCTGGTGCAGTAGGACCAGGTAAAACAGGCACTGCATCCAGGCCTGCATTCAAATGCCTGGGAATAGCCTGGGAATTGCACAGAGCTTTCCATCAGGGCAGGAGCCAAGCATCCCTGATTCCAGGTCTTCACTTCCACCAACGAGACCAGGAAACCAACAGATCCAGTGTTTATGCATTGCCTGGGAACTGCACAGGGCCTTCCTTCCTGGCAGGAAGCAAGCAGCCCAGATTCCAGGTCTTCTCTTCGACCAAAGGGACCAGTACACCAGCAGATCCAGTGCCAGTGATCCCCTGGAAACTGCACAGAGCTTCCCATACTGGCAGGAACTGAGCAGCCCAGATTCCAGATGTTCTTTTCCACCAACTAGTCCAGGAAATGAGCAGACACAGGAGACCAGAGGACCTGGTCCTGGGATACTAGGTGAAACAGGCTCTGTATCCGGGCCTGCATTCCAGGGCCTAGGGATAGCCTGGGAATTGCACAGAGCTTCTCATCCTGGCAGGAGCTGAGCAGCCCAGAATCCAGGTCTTCTCTTCTACCAATCAGACCAGGAAACCAGCTGATCCAGGAGATCAGTGGACCACAACCTCAGGCAGGACCAGGTCAAACAGGCCCTGCATCAGGCCCTGCATTCCAGTGGCTGGGATCAGGTAGGAACAGAACAGTATTTCCCTTCCTGACAGGAGCAGAGCAACCCAGACACCAGTTCTTCTCTTCCATCAATGAGACCAGAAAACCTGAAGATCCAGTTAATTGAGATCACTTGGGAAGTGCACAGATATTGCAATCATGACAGGAAGCGAGCAGCGAAGATTCCAGTATTTCACTTCCACCAACGAGTAGAGGAAACTAGCAGACACAGTTTCTGGGTATCGCCTATGAAATGCACAAAGCTTCACATCACAGCATGAGCCAAGTAGTCCATATTTCCGGTCTTCTCTTCCACCAAGTAGACCAGGAATCCAGTAGATCCAGTACCTGGAGATCACCTGGGAACTGCATAGAGCTTCACATCTTGGCATGAAGCAAGCAGCCAATATTCCAGGTCTTCTCTTCCACCAACGTAACTAGAAAACCAGCAGATCCATGAGATCAGGGGACCAGCTCCTCAAGCAAAACCCTGTAAAACAGGCCCTACATCTAGGCCTGCATTCCAGCGCTGGAAGGTCACCTGGGAACTGCACAGAACTTTTAATCGGGGTGGGAACCAAGCAGCCCAGATTCCATGTCTTCTATTCCACCATCGATAACAGTAAATGAGCAAATCAAAAGCAGAGGAACAGCTTGTCAGGGAGGACAAGATAAAACAGGCCCTGCATCCTTGCCTCCATTTCAGTGCCTGTAGATAGCCTGGGAACTTCACTGAGTTGCCAATCACAGTAGGATACGAGCAGCCCAGATTCCAGGTCTTCTGTTCCACCAACAAGACAAGGAAAACAGCAGATCCAGTGCCTGGGAATGCCTGGGAAATGCACAGAGCTTCCCATCACTGTGGGAGCTGAGCAGCCCAGATTCCAGGGTTGCTTTCACCAACAAGACAAGGAAAAAAGCAGTTCCAGTGCCTGGGGATTCTTGGGAACTGCACAGTGCTTCCCTTCCTGGCAGGAAGCATGAAGCCCAGATTCCAATCCTGGTCCACCAAGGGGACCAGTAACCCAGGAGATCCAGTGCCTAGTGATATCCTGAGAACTGCACAGATTTTCTCATTATGGCAGGAGCTGAGCAGCCCAGATTCCAGTTCTTCTCTTCCAACAAGGAGACAAGGAAACCAGCATATCCAGGGAATGGAGATCACCTAGGAAGTGCACAGAGATTCCAAATACAGCAGGAAGCAAGCAGCCAAGATTCCAGTTTTACTTTTCCTCCAATGAGTCTAACAGACACAGTGCCTGTATATCGCCTGTGAAATGCACAGAGCTTCCCATCTAAGCATGAGCCAAAAGCCCATATTTCAGGTTTTCTCTTCAAACAATGAGACCAGGAATCCAGTAGATCCAGTAATTAGAGATCGCCTGGAAACTGCAGAGCTTCCCATCCCAGCATGAAGAGAGCATCCAAGATTACACGTCTTTTCTTCCACCTACTGGACAGGAAACCAGCAGAACCAGTCCCTGGGTATTGCCTGGGAAATGCATAGGGCTTTCCTCCAGGCAGGGGCCGAGCAGGCCAGATTCCAGGACTTCTATTCCAACAACAAGACCAGGAAACTAGCAGATCAAATGTCTGTGGATTGCCTGGGCACGGCACAGGACTTCCCTCCTGGCAGGAAGATAGCAGAACAGATTCCAAGTATTCTCTTCCAACAACGAGTCCAGGAAACCAGCAAATCCAATGCCTGTGATCCCGTGGGAACTGCACAGAGCTTAACACCCAGGCAGGAACTGGGCAACCCAGATTCCAGATCTCCTCTTCCACCTACTAGTCCAGGAAACCAGCAGACCCAGGAGACCAGAGGACCATCTGGTCCTGGGGGACCAAGTGAAATAGGCCCTGCATCTGAGACTGCATTCCACTCCCTGGGGATAGCCTGGGAACTGCACAGAGCTTCTCATTCTGGCAGGCACCAAGCAGCCCAGATTCCAGGTATTCTCTTCCACCAATGAGACCAGAAAACCAGCAGATCCAGTGTGTGGTGATAGCCTGGGAACTGCATGGACGTTCCCATCTTGGGAAGCCCAGATTCCAGGACTTATCTTTCACCAACGAGAACCAGAAACCAACAGATCCAGTGCCTGTGATCCCCTGGGAACTCCACAGACCTTCGCATCTGGGAAGGAGCTGAGTAGCATAGATTCCATTTCTTCTCTTCCAACACGGAGACCAGGAAACCATCAGATCCATTGTCTGCATAGTGATTTCCATCTGGAACCAACTAGACCAGATTCCAGATCTTCTCTTCCACCAGCTGCACCAGGAATACATCAGACCTAGTAGACCAGAGGACCAGCTGGTGTGGCAGGCCCATGTAAAACTGGCACGGCATTCCAGTGCCTGGGGATTACCTGGGAACTACACAGAGCTTCCCATCACTGCGGGAGTAGAGCAGCCCAGATTCCATGTCTTTCCTTCCACCAACCAGACCAGGAAACCAGCAGTTCCTGTGCCTGGGGATTACCTGGGAACTGCTAAGGGCTTCCCTTCCTGGAAGGAAGCAAGAAGCCCAGATTCCATGTCTTGTCTTCCACCAAGGGGACCAGGAACCTAGCAGTCCAGTGCCTAGAAATAGCTTGGGAACTTCACAGAGCTTCCCATCCTGGCGGGAGCAGAGCAACACAGATACCAGTTCTTCTTTTCCAGAAAAATGACCAAGAAACCAGGAGATCCAGTGAATGGAGATCGCCTAGGAAGTGCACAGATATTCCAATCATGGTAGGAAGCGAGCAGCCATGATTCCAGTTTTTCTCTTCCACCAATGAGTCCAGGAAACTAGCAGACACAGTGACTGGGTACAGCCTGTGAAATACACAGAGCTTCCCATCCCAGCATGAGCCAAGAAGCCCATATTTCAGGACTTCTCTTCCAACAACGAGACCTGGAATCCACTAGACCAAGGAACTGGAGATTGCCTGGGAACTGCACAGTTTCCCATCCTGGCATGAAGAGGGCACCCAAGATTCCAGGTCTTCTCTTCCATCAACATGACCAGAAAACCAGCAGATCCAAGAGATCAGGGGACCAACTCATCAAGCAGAACCATGTAAAACATGCCCGGCATTTGGGCTTGCATTCCAGTGCCAGAAGATTACCTGGGAATTGCACAAAACTTTTAATCTAGGAGGGACCAGATCAGCCCAGATTCCAGGTCTTCTCTTCCACCAACGATACCAGTAAACCAGCAGATCCCTGAGAACAGGGAACCATTTTGTCAGTCAGGAGCAGGTAAAACAGGCTCTGCATATGGTCCTGAATTCCAGTGCTGTGGATCATCTGGGAATGGCACAGAACTTCTCATCTTGGCCAGTTCAGAGTAGTGCAGTTTCCATGTCTTCTCTTCCACCAACAGGACCAGGAAACCAGCAGATCCAGTGCATGGCTATCGCCTGGGAACTGCAGAGATCTTTCCATCTGTGCTGGAGCCTAGCAGCCCCGATTCCATGTCTTCTAAATGTCTGAGATACACTGCATAAAGTGCTCAACATCCCTAGAAATCTGAGAAATGCAAATCAAAACAATTCTGAGACACCCTCTCACTCCTGTCAGAATGGCTAAAATAAAAACTCCAATGACATTTTATGCTGGAGAGGATATGTAGAAAGGGGAAATTTCCTCCACTTCTGGTGGTAGTGCTGACTTGTAAATCCACATTGGAAATCAATATTGAGTTTCCTCAGGAAAATGGGAATCAGTCTACCACAAGACCCAGCCATTCCACTCTTAGGCATATACACAAAAGATGCCCATTCACACAGCAAGGATGTCTGTTGCACTATATTCATGGCAGTATTATTTGTAATAGCCAGAACCTGGAAACAAACTAGATGCCCCTCAACTGAAGAGTGGATAGAGAAAATGTGGTACATTTACATGATGGAGTACTACTCAGTGGAAAAAAATGGAATCTTGAAATTTTCAGGCAAATGGATTGGACTAGAAGAAACCATGCTGAATGCATTTATACAGTCACAAAAAAGACAAACATGGTGTGTGATCACTAATTTATGGATTTTAGACATAAATCAGGGGAGTGCCAGCATACAATCCCACTTCCAGAGAGTCTGGGAAAGAGAACCTTCATCAAGCGATTGATGAAAACAGAGGCAGATACCGACAGACACACACTGAACTGAATTCCTGGGATGTAGTGTCAGAAAGAGAGAACTGATGGGCATAGGAGATAAGACTGGGCTGGTTTATCCCATAGAAACATTTGAGCTGAACAACAGGAATCTCTTGTACCCCAGATTGATGGCTGTGTAAAGCATGGAAATGACCCAGACCCTTTGAATGTGGGAGTCACTGAGAAGGCCTAGGTAATCTATTGGTACTTGCATAGTACTCATCTCTGGCTTACAAATAGACTTGAAAGCCAATACCATATTATGGGATGCTTTCTTAGCTGGTACTCTTGGGGGAGGGCCTAGGCCCTGACCCAGATGACATGACAGTCGGTGGAGGTCCACAATAGAGGGTCTCATCCTCCCTGGGTATCGGTGTGGACACTGGGCAGGAGACTGGGGGACTTGGTGTACAGGGCAGGGAGGGATGGTTGGAGTGGAAGCTTGAAACGTGAAACAACCTTGTTTCTAACTTAAATGAGATTTAAGAACACAAAGGGAGATGTTTGTTCTGTGTTTTCAAGCTGAGGTTAAAAGAACTGAAGATACTGTCTTCCTGGCTATCATGGGAACATTAGACAACCAAGATAGAAAAGAACTACACCTAAAAAAAATAGGCCATCCCCCTTCAGAAGGCTGGAAGATTGCTCCATTACTTTCTGTTAATTCCTGAAATTCAGAGCAAACTTTAGGAAATGAATAATAATAGAAAGAGTAGTGTTCATGGTAACTTTAATACTTACAGGAAAATGAGCTAGGAATAATGTGTTAATGAGCTCCATTGGTAGACATCACATCCTCCTCCAGGGACAGGTGAAAAATTGCAGCTGCATTATTTAAGGTTCTCTACAGGAATGGTATGGTGGAGTGCTTATCTCCATGTAGCTAATAATTATATTTATTACAATGTCTCATGAGATGAGGTCCAGGTAGCACAACAATGCCTTCCTACCAATGGCAACTTGAAGAATCCAGCAGATTGTCTCTCAGCCTTTTGGCTAAATCAAGTTAAGAATTCTGTAATTGTCCAATCCTTGCGGCTGGACATGTTAGCTTCTCTCCTTATATACAACAATTCCAAAGAAGTAGGCTCTAATGCCAGTAAAGGATTAAATTTTGTAATTGTTGTGCACAAGTTTCAAAGTTCCCAGAGACCCCCAGGAAGACAGACCTATTAAAATGCAAAAGCAAAGCTATAATTGTATTGATTGTTCATCCAACAATGAAAGGGACCCTGTCTATCAAGCTGATGCAGCAGCCTCCAGAGGGAGGGAAGGTCCCTGTCTACAGCTAGGTTTTAGAAACAAAAGTTACAGGATTACATCAGTATGTATGGGTTAGTTTCTGGTATTGGTTGACATTTGTGAACAATTAGGAGAATTTCTAAAAGTTATATTTTGGCATGAAATACCTGTGTACCAATTATTTTCATTGGTCAGTGCTGAGGAAGAACATTCTGTGGTTTCTATGGTATTGTCTTGTTACTTGCTGGTGGCCTGTTGTACATAGATGCTAATAGTTGCAGAACTACATCCTGGATACTACAGGGAGATTTTATTTAATCTCTGTACACATAGAAACATAGTTAACTGTGTTTGGCAAAGTTTCCTTTGATCTTTTGGTTAAAGCTGATTTTCCTGCTTTTGTTCTTGGCTTTATCTCCCTAATCTCTACTTTTTTTACAAATGTTTCACTCTACTGGTCAACCACTAGAGTACTTACCTCTACCAATGTTCAGACCAAAGGGCCGATCCTTTCCTCATACTGATCCTCAGACTGATTGCTGTCTCTATGAAACCTTAGACTGAGTCCTCTCAATGCATGTCCTTCTGTCACCTCCCACCTTGTATCTCACAGTTCAGCAATATCGCTCCTGTCTCCAACTCCCTATTGCCTGTATTAAAGGCATATAAACACAAGTTCAGGGATAAACTTTGTTCCAGGTGTTTGTCTTTCTCCCTCTCTCTTTCAATTTATGTCTCTCTCTGTCTCTTTGTCATTGACTCTATCTATGTCTCTCTGTCTGTCTGTCTCTGTCTCGCTGTCGCTGTCTCTGTCTCTGTCTCTCTCTCACTAATCCAGAATGGCCTTGGATTCACAGTGAAACCAAAGAGATTCATTTGCCTCTGTCTCCTAAGTGCAGGTATTAAAGCCATGCCACACCTCTACTTGTTCAAGGATGAATTTGAGTACTTGATCTTCAGTATCTATGGCTAACCAGTTACTTAGTGTGTGTGGTTAGATAGTGACTTAGTGTGTATTTTTAACCAGTGGCTTAGCACTTAGCCAGGTGTGTAGCTAACTATTGAGTTAGATCTGCACTCGGAACTTCAGACAGGCCTTACTTGTTATATCACAAACAAAATATTGCTACAATCATTAATAAGTTAGATTGATGTTGCCTATATGCATATGTTGTCTACTGTGCTCTGTAATCAGACAAATAGTTACAGTTAATGACCTACATCCTAAACCTCTGAGTTGACATAACTGTGTCAAGCAGGATAAATTATATCTGCACGGGATAGTTACCTATGTGCAAATTAAATGTTCATTGGTTCAAGGTCACCTTCCCTACTGTAATGCCTCACAATCTTGTCTGTGTTTATTCGAATGGAATGAATTAAAACATGATGGGAAATTACAAAATCTTTCCCACTACAACAACTGGGCCTGTTTTATAACCATGATTCCAGCAGCTGGTGCCTACCATCAATTTTCCTGCAGTGTAAACTATTCCTCCTATTTTGTTCTGAAGACAGAAGCAATGCTCCCCCATGAGAATCCATTTCCTGTAACTGGAAAGGA